GTCCTCCGTGAGACTCGACACACCGGCCTCGACGGTGTCTCAGCACGGGGCGGAGGAGCTCTCTAGGACGCAGAGGGGTGCCCTAGGCAACGACCAGGCTGAGGCACGGCCCTCGGCGGAGCGGTGGCAGCTGGAGGATAATGCCGGGGCAAAATGTGCTAGATGGCCTCAGTCTGTCTCTGCACAGCCGAGAACGTCCTCGACAGTGTCGCCAAATAGGCCAACCTGCGAGATGGGTGCGTCAAGAAAGTGCACTTTTTTCGACAGCTCTCATCTTAGCGAGGTTAAGCCAAAGATGGCACTTTTGTCTACCTACCCCCTAGCCACCCTGCCATCGAGGGTAGTGAGGACAGAGGAGGGAGATGAGCGGCTTCTGGACGAAAAAGGGGTGGCGAGCCGGGCCAGCGAAATCACTCGGGAGCCGCACAGGACATTCGCTGCGGGAGGAGTGAGAGCTCATACGCTCATACACTCGCAATGAACGCATGAGTCGTCCACGAACGCAACTTCAGCGTGTTGGATGCTCAGACACTGAAGGCAACACTCTTGGCCGTCGACAGAGGACAGGTAACGACCGCAACCAAGAGAACACGGACGGAACGGCATCTTTAAAAGACGCGAGCCATCCGTGATGAGAAACTGCTCTTTTAGTTGAAGCACCCAGGGGAATCACTGAATCAACAGGGACACCGCTGTTTGTGCCAACCAGGAACAGCTTCTTTCTTCCAGTCAGAACGAAGTTCTTTGTGGAGAAGAAATCATTCACCCACTCGATTCCAAAGCAAAAATCTGATGAGTGGATGCACCTTCTGTGGCGTTTTGGGGATTGGGAAGTCAGAGCGGATTGGGGCTCTGAAGTAAACCCCCTATGTCATCTAGACATAACTCGTAGTGACCGACAAATAGGGAACCAGAAATACTGAACATTTTAGAGGCTGTTGCTTTTTGCTTTTCTATAGGTTGAGGGTAAAAACTAAATAAATATCACATGGTGTGAGCATTTTTGGCTGGTGAAGGTGGAGAAATGTTTTTCTATAGGTTGAGGGTAAAAACTAAATAAATATCACATGGTGTGAGCATTTTTGGCTGGTGAAGGTGGAGAAATGTTTTTCTATAGGTTGAGGGTAAAAACTAAATAAATATCACATGGTGTGTGAGCATTTTGGGCTGGTGAAGGTGGAGAAATGTTGTCAGTTATTTAATTCGCTCAACCAAACTGCATTAGATTAAAGATTATCAGATTATTTTTTGTAAACTATTCAGTGGTAAGAAATCATCAATCAATCAAAGAATACTAATTCATTTTTCAATATCCATTTTACAGTAACCATGTCCCATAGTCCTTCATCATCCTCTGCAAATTTGGTTCCTTCTCTCTGTTGAATAATTTAGTGAACGGCTGAATTGTGTAATATTCAGTTAACTATTAATCAGTAAATTTAGTAATTTAAACAGATTGACCAATTTGCCTATTTGCTTTTACTTTAAGATGTGGACCATTACTGCTTTAATTAAAGTTAATTCAGAGATTACCGCTTTTAATATGCACGCTCACCAGCACATCAGTTCACATTTTATGGAGTTCAAAATTAACTTTACACACTGAATTATTATATTCAGAATATTTCCTAAACCCTTTCTTACATTCGTAATGGAGTTTTTGCTACCGCTCACATTTTCTATGGGTTTCTTAAACATTATTGCCAGTGATGGACAGGGAAATGGTAAGTACATGTTGGTTTGTCCCTGTAATCATTTAACCCTGTAATTAAAGTTTGTTTCACAGCTTGAATTTACTTGTAAGATGTTACCACTCAACATAAATTCAGGGTTTGTTTTCTGTGATTGTTATTTTAATACTACAGAATGATTTGAAAATACAAAAAAGAAACTGAAAAATTTAAAAATCACCTGTTAAAATGACAGTACCATCAAGTTCAAAGTTATTTTCATCTACATTTATGTAATAATTATATTTTAAGTAATTTTTATTTATTTATTTATTTATTGCCTTCTTACATTTAAATTGTTTTGACTGCATTTCTAATACCATTATAAAAACCCACCAGGGCTTCAGCTTTTGTACATAAGGATTTGTTCTTTTTAATCACTGCAGAATTAGAGTTTATAAGTGCAAATATAATGATGCATTCAATCTAGAGAACATCAGCTTCTGTTTTATTAAGCCCTGCAGTACAAGCCATTAGAGATGGTCAGCATAATCACTGGGCTACCAGCATTAGGGGGGCACTGTAAAATAAAATGTTTATTGCTACTAAAAATGCTATTATACTAAAAAGCCACTTTTATATGAAGAGACGTACACATGGAAAGAGAGATTGCATGGGGAGAATACATAATTCATTGGCTGTTTAAAAAAACTAAAAGGTTTTATGCGAAGAACTTCTTGACCCTTCATACCTCAGTCACCTCCATGCATCTCACAGATTCTGCTACATACGTAATGTAGCCTAGAAAATGAGCTAATGTGTTCAGGCCTGCTTTGTGTGATCACTTTTGATTATGAAGCGGTATTGTCCAGCCGTGGTGTGCTATCTCAGGCTATCTCTCGGAGCATCTGCAGCCAGGCAGGAAATTGAAGCTAGGTAAAAGGTAAAGGCCACCACAATGACGGTGGATGAGCGGCCTGCAGTAATTATTTGAAGTGCTGTTCAAATAGAAGCACACGGGATTATAGACACTTAAGAATACTCACGCTTGCTGATTCACTTTTGATGTCCATCAGGATTGTTCCTTACCGATAGCTGATGTCTGATCTTTTCAGATATGCAGCATGGAGTACTTCACGGTGCTTGCATTTCCGATGAGAGCCTGCTGCCCACGCTTGCTCTTTAAGGTTAGGGCTGTCTGGAGTTTTTTTGTTGTTGTTGGAGTTGTTCTGAAAGTGCTTTTACATAGGTCACTTTTTTGGTTTGTGTTGCTGGGTAACATTAAAAAAAAAAAAAAAAAACCATCAGGGGGGAGTCAAGTGGAAAAATGTTGTCTGTGTGTAGTTAGTAGCATAAGATAATAACATTTTAAAATGCCCTGACCCGCTATTTAGTAAAGAATACATTTCAAGTTTCAAGTCCCAAAAAAAGGCAGTATACTGTTGTCAATAATTGATAATTATAAAAACTAATATAAGAATTTAGTGTCAAATCAGCATATTGGAGTGATTTCTGATGGATCATGTGACATGAAGACTGAAGTAATGGTTGGATGGCTGAAAAAATCAGCTTTGCCATCAGAGGAATACATTACATTTTAAAATATATTAAAATAGAAAACAGTTATTTTAAATTGTAAAAATATTTCACAATATTTTATTTTTTATTTTTGATCAAATAAAAGCAGCCTTAGTGAGCATAAGAGACTTCATTCAATACATACAAATCACATTGACTCCAAATTTCTGAACTGTAGTGTATAATAGCAAAAACAAACGCAATCAAATTGTCCAATTTTTAAAAACAAAAAAACATTTTTTTTATTAATTTATGATTGGGGGGGAAATATCAAAAGTCTTTTATATTATTATTTATTGCTTTTTTATTGAATTATACTGTTGTGGGCTATTGGCTACTAATATTAATTTCTGTTTTAAAGCTGAAGCATGTAATTTTTGGACCATTATTCTTACCAAAGGTTTTGGGAGAACATTGCAAACAGAGCAACTGATGGAGTCAAATCATGAAACACATGGGTTCTCTCTCTCTTTTTTTATTCTATCCACTTCATGTTTTCTTCAGGATGTAAAAATGAGAGATACCTGTGACATCCCTTGTCACTCCAGGGGAAGATGTATCTGCAAAGTGTTCCTCAAGGTCAGTGTAGCCACTCAAAAAAGCCTCATAGATCTCTCACAAACTGTGATAAACTGTACCTCCACAGTTCGAGTCTACGTGTATTTCAGATGCTTTCTGACGATAAACGCAGTCACCTATCCGGGGCTGCGGTGGGTGATTAAAGCACTTTGTCTTGAATCATATCCTGCTCTCCTGATTCCCTTCGCTGATTTCTGCCCCCTCCCTTCTCTCACCTCTCCTCATATCACACCTCCTTCTTACTCATTCACAAACAAAAAGGGAATCGAATTCGGACTGCTTTGTCAGAGCAATGCGGCAAACAAACAGGAGCCGATAAAACACCCGTCTTTATTTTTTATCTGTCTGTCTGTCTATTGATTGCCACTGGGGACCCGATGTGAAGTCTGGAATCTGAAGCCGTCTCAAATTTTGGTTGTGAGTTTGCCGAGAAGCAGACCTGAAGTCTGTGATGACATTTCCATTTAATTACCGATGCATCACTTCAGCTGAATACCAACATGTCCAGTGTGAAAGTTGTAAACAAGTGAATGAAATCAATTCTGTTCGAGTGCATAAGGGTGTTTATTTTTTGGTTAAATGTGTAAAGTCAATATAGCAGGCTTTTGGTTAAAAATCCGAATAGCCGAAAATTAGCATTCCATCATCATTTACTCACACTGTTAGACATTTCAAAGGGTTTTTACAGTAACTTTACAGTAAAGTTACTGTAATTAAGTTTTACAGTAGCAAACTTTTTGATTTACAGTAGCAAACTATACTGTTTTTACAGTAACTTACTGTAAAAAAAATCTAATTCATCAGTATACTACTGCAATTCATTCATTTTAATATAGATTTCATTTGATTTTATATTTTTTATATATAATTATTTTTATTTTTATCCTACATAGGTACTACTGGCATTCAATTAAAATAGACACAATCATTACAAAATATCAAATTCTTTATTTAAAACATTGCATGTATAACACTTAAAAATATAGTCTTCCAATGCTGGAACAGTGCATCTTCACCATTTCTCCTGTCTTAGGACATTTTGCAGTGCATTACGTTGTATTCTCTGGATTTATCCTCACAAAGAATCTTTAGGCAACAGAAACATAATGGGGAAAAAATACATAGCCATCTGCAAAACCCAGGTGCTGCTCCAAAACTTGGCCACCACCTTTGCTCACCATCCACTTTGTTAGTGACAGAAATATGTTCCCTGAAAAACAAGAAGTAGAAATGGCACACTTTTAAAAGGCAAACCCCATATAAAATACACAAACCTCTCAAAACCATAGTTGTTCTCTTACCATGAATTATCAGTCTCAGGGTGGCTGTCATGCTCATGTCTTTCTTGATGCTTCATTGCAGTTGCCTTAAAAAAAACAAATACAAAAAAATGCAGTAAATCTTAAATTCCATTAAAAACTATTACAAACTAATTCTAAAACTAGAAAACAGAAAAAAAACCTTGCTAACAATTTCACATTAGTTAAGTTACTGTCAATATAAGATAAAATAATTTTAATTAGGTAATTCAGTAAGCTGACAAAAGTCGTTTGAAACGATATAGCAGAGTTTATCATAGTAAAGTTTGTTACCGCCGTGTTGACGGGTAAACGTTACTAGGTTAAACTGGTGTGCAAATATCTGACAAAAACACAGTCAAACGTATACATATTTTTACCTTGCTTGCTGGTCTTATTCTCTCGTAAGGTGCATCGACACACAGCACAGATGTTCCCCGGAATTCTTCCACTCTCGCGGGGTCCATCCCCAGGCAAAACCCGCAGTACTGCCCCATTGGATCCGTGTCTTCCTCGTATGCGAACGGCGCAGCGCGACGTGACAAAAGACGATATAGAACCCATTATAATCCGTGATACTATGTACAGTGAGTGGATGCGGATAGTAAACTGATGCCCCAGTATATTTTTGACGTACGTAGTACTCCAAGCGCTCACGCTGTTTCTGACACGAAGGACAAACATATTTGCCAATCATTTCATGCAATGTAACACGTCCAACAGAGTCAGTCCCAAGCTGTTGCGGCGTTGTAGATACGGTGTAGGGCAAATCCTATCAGTCCAAATGTAAGAAATGAGGCAAATAAAACAACCTCAATGGAATGGTGCCAAAGAGGCCGTTACGGCAAATACAGTAGTATAAAGCAATTTTAAAAAATACAGTAAGTCTCTGTATGTGGGGTTTGACGTCACAGAAAATTCCCATGATGCAAAGGGTATTACAGTTACTTACTGTAAAGGGAATTTTATACTGGGTGATATACAGTAAATAACTGTAGAAATTACAGAAATGTCTAACAGTGCACCCTCATGTCAAACCTGTACGAATGACTTTCTTCCGTTAAACAGAAAGATTTTTGGAGGAATTTTGAAGAATGTTCTGGTCGCTCTTATCCATACAATTGCAAAGAACGGATACTGAAGCTTTCAACCTCCAAAAAGGATGCAAAAGCACCATAAATGTATCATGAAAGTGGTCCATATGCTATATTCCATTATATTTCAAATGTTGCTTCTCACGTTAACTCAAGAAAAACTAGAATAAGGATGAACATTATGAGGGTGAGTACATGATGTTGAACTGTTCCTTTAAGATGTAAATAATGGGAAATCAGTATTTTCGTTGTTCAGTGTTTTGTTTTAACTTTCATAACTGTTAGAATTTTGACTATGAAAGATCATCATAATCTATATCAATATATAATCTATATCAATCATAAATATGACTTCGCATTTGAAAAATGGATCTCCAGGAACCTTCCAGAAAGCATAGAAGATCAAATACCTCAGAGAGGCACAAAGCATTGTAGGATTTCGATCTGGCCCCAGGAGAGTTGCTCCATCTCTGAGTTTAAAGTTTTGTGTAGTCGTACCAGAGTTTGAGGTGTGAGCATCACAGCAGCTCCCCAGAGCTTAGACTGAGCAAGCCCTCAAAGACCAGAGACAAGAAGAACATGATCTCACTTCAGTACAACACTGCTTCAAAAAGACTTTCCATTCATAAAAAAAGAAAATCTGATACACGGAGAAAAAGATCAAGAATACTTTCCCTAACCTGTTCTCTTTGATCACTGACAAAAAAAAAAAAATTACAAATTTATGTAATGTATATCAAGACCACAAACATTTAGAATTTCATAGAGTGCCTGCTGATAGTGTTGCTTATTTGTATGTTTTGTTTTAGCTCCTTATTTACTAGGAGCTACATCAAATGTGTCCTTTTATGCAAGTCATTATATTTATATAATGCACTATTGTATGTAATTGTATGTAATGCAGCATCCATCTCCGAAAGCAATGACCACATTTATTATTTTGTCTGCTTTTTTTTTGTTGAAATTATTATATTCAGTGGCTACTCATAGTTTTCTCAGTGATATTTAGTGCCAGTTTATCAGGAATTGATGATTTTGTACTATTGACTACTTGGATGGAGACTGTGCATATTCGCAAATGTTTTATGCGATATTCCAATTTTACACATGTTAAATTCGTAACTTTGGATGGAAACCCGGCTACTGACGACTGGAATACTGACTGCTGAAAATTCATAATCATAGGAATAAATTGCAATTTAAAATATATTCAAATAGAAAAAAAGTTTTAAATAATATTGTTTACAATATTACTTTTTTAATGTATATCTGATCAATGAATTCAGCCTTGGGGAGCATGAAAGAGTTCTTTCAAAAACATAAAAAAATACTGCAGTACCATTCAAAAGTTTGGTACTGGTATTTTCATATTTAGCACCTGATTAAACTGAACTCTGGTTAGTGAATAAGATTCAGGTTTTAGCACTGAAATATTGTTCAGTTAATTCATCCAATAGGAAAAACACATCTTTTAACTGACCATGTCATGTCGCTGGCAAATCCTTTGCTACAATTGATACCTTTTTGGTGTTTTCAAGTTCCTCATTACGAGCAATTCAATGAAACTAAATTGCCAGAACATGCATTAAAAATGTGTCTCTCAATATGCCCAGCTGTCTCTGTTGTTATGGCGAACACTGAAACGAGCAATAAAGTGGTTCGCCGAAGGCAAAATGGCCAGGTTTGGGCTGGGCGGCACTCCAAATGGACTGTGTTTGTAAATGCAGGTCTTTTTTGTCACAGCGTGTTCTAGCTCAGTGGAAGTTCATGTGGGGATCACTTCATTGAGGAGCAGTGTGAAGTCCTCGCTCCTGTGTGTTCTGCAGCAGTGGGGCGTGCGGGAGTGACTGATCTGGCACTCTCCCACACCATCTGGACATAGTATAGTGTTCAAACACGATCAAGCTCATGCCTGCCTCTAAACACTCGACTGTTCACTTTGAATGACTGGTACACCTGTGCAGGGCTGCTCTTGTGGATTGCCAGTCACGATGACCATCAGGCCAGTTCGTAAGAGTAATTTATTCTTAAAACTGACTATAGTGGTCGCACTGTATGCTTTTGATTCAGTAAGACGAACCAGTTCATAAGATTCAGTTATTCATAAATCTAACCGTAGTGCCCTCGCTGTATGTTTTTGAATTATCAGAAAGAACCAGTTCATAAGAGTCGTCTATGTGTGATCACACTGTGTTTTTGATTTACTGAAAATAACTAGTTCATAAGAGTCTTTTTATTAGTTTATCGGACTATTGTGGCCACGCTGTATGTTTTTGAAACATCAAAGATGTGCTTGGTCACACTGTATGCTTTTGATTCACTAAAAAGAATTTATTTAAGAGACATTTACTAATTTGTGAATCAGACTATAGTGGCCACACTGTATCTTTTTGATTTACTAAAAATACTAAGTTCATAAGAGACATTCATTCATGAATCAGACTATAGTGGTCATGTTGTATGTTTTTGATTTACTAAAAATAATGCGTTCTTTAGAGTTTTTTGTTTGTGAATAGCACTTCAGTGGCGCACTGTATGTTTTCATTCACTAAATCTGTTTCAAAAGAGCCATTTATTTGTGAATCAGACTACAGTGGTCACACAGTTTGACAGTCTATGAACAATGTCAGCACTGGTGTTGTTTGACTCAGTGTGTTTTTGAGAGTATATAGTTACTGGCATTGGTATTTTAGATCAGCGTTTGTTGCTTGTTAGACTAACCCGACATTGCCAGTCAGTAAAGCGTATACAAACTAGATCAACCAATTCAAAATTGAACCCATCGTATTGTTTCAGGTCCATTTCAGTCATATCCACAAAAGGCAGTGGTGTCTTTACCAGTCTCAGTTGTCTTGTCTGCTGCTCAGGTGCCTGTGGAGTTGAATTAAACGGCACAGGTAAAGTGGGCTCTGTTTGCCGGATGAGACAGACTGTCTCCTTGAATCTTCTGCACCTGGTCTCCCTCTGTCCTCACTGAAGGGCTATGGCCCTGCTGCAATGAGCCTTAATCTGGGAGATCACTCTTTATCCTGCAGGTTCCAGGGGCAATGTGGAGGAACATATCAAGCCATCTCCATGGATTAGGCCATGTGCTCTCTTGTGGGGACAAGTGAAGGGAGGGAAGTCAATCTCCAGGGGATTGTGGCTTTACTCTTTCACCCTCTCACTGTTTTTTTTTTTTTTTGGTCTCACTGTTGGTTAGAGTGTTCTGTTATTGTTACTTCAGTGTATTTATTGCTTCAGCAGTTGTGTTACAGTCTGGTGGCAGTCTGGTATCAGGCTTGATACCTTGATCATATCATAATTATTAAAGGAACCAGTTCCACTTATAATGTTAGTTTTACCCTCGGTCTTACAGACCAGTCTTAAACCTAGTCCCAGACTAAAAGGAAGATCTGAGCTGTTCAACTGTAAGAAACTTGCTCTGACTGATCTAAAAATATATCAGTGAAAATATATCAGTGTCTTTGTTGTGTCTCAAGATGCACACCAGTAATGTTTTTTTCTTTCTAAGGCACGTATATAAAATTACTTAAATTGAATTGAACTATGGCCTAATCCTGGCTTAGTCTGAACCCTGTCTGTGAAACCTGGGGCCTGTTTCATAAAACAAGTTTACCAAATAAGCCAGGATTATTTCAGTTAGTCTGACTTATTTTGAACCAAATCAGCTTACAATAAGTCAGACTAACTGAAATAAACCTGACTTATTTGGTAAACTTGTTTTATGAAACAGGCCCAAGGCCTTAGAGTTGTTGTTGTTGTTGTTTTTTTTTCCACCAAAACAGCTGTATTATTATTTTTATGACCACTTTCCA